TCACTTAGGTTATTTTCCCACAGTTTATTGACAGAGAGATTTTGGAGCCTAGAGTTTTCTGAAAGAGAGACTGCGGTGGGTCATATTTAGAGGGACCAAGGGACACTGGGGAGCCAGGGAGCAAAAGAGCAAAGGACATGAAGCAGGGCATAGTACATTGACTGGCAATTCTTCCTGAAGCCTTAGGAAGGAATCTATCCCCCTGGCTAGCTCAGGGAAGCTCTGGATGAAATGTTTGAGGAGAGAAAAACCTGCCTCTGGGATTCACTTATTCTATTCACTTAACAGATATGTATTGAGCCCCTACTAGGTATCAGGCCCCGTGCTCAGGCCATGGGGAATGTGGAGGGAAGATGTGTATCTTGGATTAGCTAAAGATAGGACACAAACAGACTCATAAGCAAAGGGAACCAGCCGTGCAGGACAGTGAAGGTGGGAGTCCATCGAGGGTCGACTGGCATACCAACTCCAAACAAACTCTATCAGCCAAGGGTCATAATGTTTAACATGAACTGAGCAGGGCTCTGGCTCTCTTCCTGGCCTCTGGACTGAGAAAGACCCATGAAAAGTCAAATAAGCCTCAGGACAGAAAACAAGACAAGCAGCTTGACTGAGACCTATGAGAAAGGCACAGAGTGATGACAACTCGGACATGGTTAGGCCTCCCTTCAGGCTCAGGTAATAATCCCTCTGAACAACAGAGCCTTGGTGAGCAGAAACAGCTCGGCCCAGGCTCTGCAACAGAGAGGGAAGGACGTGAAAGCCAGGCATGGGGGCTCTGCCGCACGCGCACTCAGCCACCTCTCCAGACTCTCACTGGACAACTAGGCCCTGACAACTAAGCCGAAGTACTGACCACAGACTGGAGATTTAAATAAGACTTTGTCATTTTATTTATTTATTTTATTATTATTTTTTTTTAATTTATTTTTTTTCCTTTTTTTTTTTTGTCTTTTTCCGTGTCCGGCAACGGATCACAACCCTCTGTGTCGCCCCCGTACCGGACCGGGACCAGCAACGG